AAGCAGTATTGATTTTTGTTTCAAAAACTTCCAGTATTAACACTGATTTTTTTCATATTTATATTTATGTGGAAATTTTAACTTTGCACTTTCGACAAAATTGAGCAAAGACATGGAATGTATTTACCAAGGAAATTTATAGCCACGAGTATAGGGCTGTTCAAGGTAAGAACTTTCTAAGCGGAGCTTAGAGTTGAATAGCCACAAAAGTAGTCTTCGACGTTTCGTTTAATGGCACGTTGAAGACTGAATTTTCTTCTCGACATACGAAACATCAGGTCTTCTCTTCGAGTAATTTAACCAGCGAGTTTTACTTCCCGATAACTCCCTAAAATTTCTTTCTCAAATTAATTCTAGGTAACTACGAAATTTTTTCACATTCGTAGAAAATTTCGAAAACATTTAATCTGCTCAATTTGCTGAATTTAATTCAATCGATCAGTTTCGTATCTACTGCACATAAATGATTAGAATTAGAAAATATGATAACATCACAGTTTTCAAAATTTCTTTCTCTAATGTCATCAATTATGAAATTCCTTCAGAAATAAATTACATTTAACTAGTTAGATTCGTAATTTGCATCTAAGAATACATAATATTTGTATCCATATATATATATATAGTATATTTCTATCTATTATATGTATATAGAAAATTAGAATTAAGATATGATAACATTACAGTTTCTTAGAACTTCTTTCTCTGATCAACAGCTATAAAATTTCTCCACATTCGTAGAAAAGATAGAATAAATTACATTTTCACCCAAGATCTGTAATTTATATCTAAATATACATAGGTAATAGTAAATCTGTAAATGTTGTTACCTATAAATGATTAGAAATTAAAATTTAGACATGATATTACAATTAACAATAAGATAATAATAACTGCGGGTTGAAGAAAAATTTTGATTATCAGAACATGATTATTTAATGGAACGATCGATTACTGATACTATGAATACTGATAATTTCTGATTAGAAAGATTGGGAGACAAGGATAGAAACTGAAAGGAACTGCTCCATTTCCTGTTTAATATTAACAGATTAAAAAATCTAAGATCATACGAGAACAAGATCGTTCAATTAAAATTAAGAAAAAAGTTAAATCTTTCCATTAGTATCTATCATGATTAGTTGGTATAATCCATTAGTTATTATATTTCTACTGTATATTATCATATTTGTGCCTTATCAGAAGTTGATATTAATTTTATTAAAAGCTTTGTGGTGTTCACTGTATCAAAAATAAAATCGTTTCAACGAGTTTCATAATTAGTTAGTTACTTTGATTAATTCAAGTTGAGTTTCTGCCAAGATTGCTGGCATAGTTTAATCAACTTGATAAAACTGAAATTACAAAATTTTAAACTCATTGTTTTGATTAGTTTCGCAGTTTTTATTGAAAATTTTAAACTCATTAATTAATTTAATTAATTTCGTAGTAATTATTAATTTACACTGAAAAAGATCGTACTAATTGCACTACAATTTGCACATTTTAACTACATGATTTATAAAAAATTTTTACTAAAATCATTTACTTATTTTAAATAATAATCTAAACTCCATCATTTTGACCATTCTTTTAGTCCTAGATATCAATTCAAAATTATAGTAATTGCCTCAATTGCCTCAGAATAACTTGCATTTTAATCAAAACTAAAAATGTATTACTTTTTAAACTTTTTAAAAAACAATGATAATAATTCCATTAAAACCACTTGCATATTTTAAGTAATGCATCAAAAACTTTTAAAAAATTGATAAATTAAATATAAATTTATATTGAAATTCTTAACAAATCTTGTTCTAGTCTGCAATGCAAACTGAAGGGAACAACACTCTATCTGCATATTTCAACTAATAGATTAAAAATGTTTACCACTTGTGTAATTTAATCAATATCAAAATTCAAAAATCTAACAAATTTCTCAACACAAATGGAAAAAAAAAATAACATCAATTCTACTGAAATCACTTACACATTTTAATTAGTATATCAAGAATTAAAGATCCACTGAAATCCACTTTGAATCTGTTTTGACCAAATCTTCTTAATTCTAATGAGTATCAACACAAAACAGAAATAATAACATTGTCATCATATTTAATGATCTTCATCTGTAAACGAGTTCTACGAGTAAAAGTGAAAAAAGAAAAAAAGAAGACGAAACAACCAGTGCAGAAAAAATTCAACTCAAAAACCACACAGGGCCATTGACTGATACTCAGTAGTCGAAGAGAATGCTTAAAGATTACTTTTAAAGACGGATCGTTAGGACGAAACACAGATAGAAGTTTGCTAAAGGAGTAATTAAAATTACTGGTGTAGACAAGCGTCATATGAAATGCAGGATGACACGAACTGCATCTGAAAATAGTCCGAAGTAGTTCCAGACGGCGCGATGAGATGGTTTAAAATTGGCATAAAACTAGGCTACATTCCATCCGAACCTGAAATATTCTAAGCGCATGCAATCATTGTGCAATTCTCACTCTTGGCGTGTATTACTCCTGTATATAAATAACGTCATTATCAGCAATATCGTTGTTAACTTGTTGCTTGAAAGATCTATCAATCCATTTTAAATTGCACTGGAGGAGATTAGCAATCTTTGTTTCCTGGCCAAATTCGTCTTCTACAGTTTATTCGTGTCGAGCGAATAAATAAATTTGTTAAAATTTCACAGATTCACATTCACATCGAAAGAGGTAGAAAAAAATCATAAATTATTGATTTCTCGCTTCAAACGGTGTGTCACTCATCAGTATTTCAATATTCACATACTTTGACTATATCCTACATTCTGACATTGTTTCAGAATTTTAGTATATTTTCGATCTTCATGATCATCGATACGATAAAAATCGTATTTGAATAATGGCATATAATGTAATAAAAAAGAATTACATGCTGTCTAATAAAAAATGATTGCAATGATTATAGAAAATGTTTTTATAAATTTTGAGAAATAAAGAAAGTATTTAGGCATTCTGTCTTAGATTCACTTGCATACCAAGAATCCATATACTACATCAACCTATCCTATAGGAATTATGTAACAATATTTGCATAAAAATATTTGGAAAATATACATATACATGAAATAACGAAACGTAATTACTAAACTGCCGATTTTTATACATAAATTCATATTTTTATACATAAAATTTAGAAAGTGGAATCTAGATAAAAAACTGATTTCTATATTAATTATTGTATAAAATATTACACTTTTTGCACAGAGATATTTCATATATTTTTATATATATTTCATGAATTTCTGTTTATTTTTGCATAATTCTTCAAATTTCTCACAATTGCATAAGAATCCGCAGATCCAGCGATTGTAATTCTCAAATGATTTCGAAAAAATTAAATTTGCTTTAGCTGAGCGTTACACTTTTTAACTAATGTTAAAAACATAATAAATGTCTGATTATTTCTTTTGTTAAATTTCCATGGAATAAAAGATTTTATTACCGACATTAGTAATGTGTATGTTTTTTTTTTTAGTCAATAGCATATATATACTATTGATTCGATGAAATATAGAAAATAAAAATTAGCATGACAATAATTGTTCCAAACATGTTGTTCATGTTCTCATACAATAAGTCTACTGTATTTCAATTTTTTCTTAACTTTCAATACTTCACAAAATTATAAGTTCTCGATGGAGAAAGAAATAATAAGAAGCAAAGTTTCGACTAAATTTCTGGGAGAAATTCGAATAATGTGATGTATATAATAATGTGGTAATATCGGCTAAGAGAAAATTACAAGCGAAACAGGTTAAATCTCTATAATTATGAATTAAATTACTATCGGTGACTCTCTTTACATGGTAAGAATTTTTCTAAAGCATTAATAAATAGTAACGGACAATCTAGTTTTAAAATTAAGTTAATTGCACATTCTTTAACTCGCGAGGATTACGTAATGACAAACTAACAATAAGTGGAACGATTTTTCGATGGATGTAGAAATGAAAGAACCATTGATATCGAGAAATGGAGATAGTAACAGAGGACTTATTGTTTAAAGGCGTAATTTCTGAGCTTTATGGGTTTTGGTAGTTCCTTAGCGGCAGTGGTTTTGTTTGATAGGATTTTTGGCATTTCCAGAACTGATGGTAGACTTGTGTCCTCTTGTGGATTCAGCCAACTCGTTCTGAAACCATAAAAAAGAATGTAAGTCGTGTTCTACAGCCTCTGAAGGCCATGAGAAGTTTCAACAATTTTTAAGTTTCAACGAATTTTAACTGCAAGTTTCACATATCAAATTTCTTTTTACATGGAACATATCGCGTAAATAGAATCTCGTGAAAAAAAAATAAAATATTACGGAGAAAAATCTGTATATGTTATAAAAATATTCGTTTCGTGTGTTTTCCGCAAAAAAGAAGAAATAATAATAAAAATTCAGAAATAAATCCTTTTAGTTGATGTCAGTTCAAGCTAAAAAAGAGTGATGTACAATTAAGTAGAGATCTGTGTTTCAGTGAAATATAATAAATTCAATAATTCTGACTGCATAAAATGAAATCACATAAGCTAATACTGCGTATAAAAAATCCACGTAAATAAAAAAATTATTTACCGCGTTAAAAAATCCGCGTAAACAATGAAATATTTTATCACGTATAAAGAGTACTATGTAAATCGGAAAATGAACGCATTTTCAATATTTTATATATTTGTTTATATTATGTGCATTTTATAAAATTTTGCAAAACCTTTAGTCCAACATCGTTGACAATTTTCACATTTATATTTTCTAATCTAAATCTTTCACACGAATGACAGATTTTTCGGACATTAAATCGAAGCCTCAAGTTTTATAAAAAATGTATTTAAAAAAAAAAAAA